CAAAAAGTGGCGGCCGCCTTGCAGCAGAGGCCTGAGCCGTCCAACGACGATAAACTGTAACCCGAGCGGTAGAACAAAGCGTGCTCAACTTTCGGCCTGCGCTAGCAGGAAGTGGTGGCAATGTGGAGGGAGTGGTTGGGTCGAATTTGCTTGGAATCAGGGAGTTGTTGCCGGAGAGGGAACTAAATGATCCTATTTTCCGCAATGTCAACATAATTTCCACAGTCGTTGTAGCGTTTTACATTGGCGGTACAAAGCAATGCCTATGGCTATCTTTTGGCAGGTTTGGAATGCACAGAACGCTCACTGAATGACGCAATGTGCCACCATGGTCATGCGTACCGAAGGTGACGACTGTTTCATTGGCTCGATTAAAGCACACACCAAAGGAAGCCAATCAATAAGCGGCTTATTCAGCCAGTAAGGCGTAATCACACGGCTAAGAAGCGTTTAGTCATCTGCCCTTGTGAGCTCTACTAAGCAGATGAGCAAGCCGGACTAACAAAAGAGAAAACACATTGGTGTTTAACGAAGTAAAGGGCGTTGCAGTTAATCATCTTTTGGATATCCAGAATGGCATTAGTGCAGTCGACAAACAGTCGTATGAAGTGTTTGGGATAAAAAGTCAGGCCTCGCAATTCTTTCATTTAAAAAATGTGGCAATATTTCTTAAGATCATTTGGGCTTAAACGCTAGGGGCGGATACTCAGGAAATTGGGGGGGGGGGAAGAATGTGTTCATCTTACATAACGATCATGTTTTGAGACCGATACAAAATACACTGGAAGCTGAGGGCGGGTCTTATTTCGGTAAGATGTTGTTATGCAGCCCCACCTGATAAGCACAGTACTGTTGGGGTTAGAGCAACTTTTCCTCAACCACTCAAAGTACAACCGCGCATTCCCAATAACTTTTATCTTGCATACAACTACTTGACCTCGTTGCCTGTGCCTTCTCCGGCCCCACCTGTAAAAAATCCTATCATCACCGGTCCCGTATTACAGGTGGCTGGGGATTGTTGACTTCAGGTGGGATCAAAAACTCACATCTGACCCTTATTTCGTAGCCGCACCTGCAGTAAACAAGCTCCAGTCGCCTCTCCTACGGGACCGGTGGTAGCAGGGGGTTTAACACTAACCCCTAACCTTAACCCTTATTCCTATCAGTAACCCCTCACCCTAACCCCTAAAAGGTGCGGCTACGAAATAAGATCTTACAGAAATTGAGATGGAAAATGCTCAAATTGCAAAAAATACATCGCGGTGGAAGCGGCTGTGCCGAATCAAGCGTTCCTGAAAAGGTCGCGTGGGATTGGAAATAAGGCTACTAATAGACATACTGCCCCATTCGAATGCTGTGTTTCATTTGCCCTAATAACTAATTACACTTGATTTAGGTCAACACAGAGTCAATGATATTATCGAACTAATTTAGGCATTGGAACTCATCAAACACTAGTCGGACCCACTAAGGTAAGGATGAATGAAGTTGGATGACAACATCGACGAAGATTAAAAATAATCTGACAATGATGCATGAATGATGGCATGTCGGCTTTCGAAATCCTTCCTGTCACCTGCGCTAATCATATTCGGTGAGAATGGCCATTTATGCATATTTGACAATGTTTTAAATGCCTAATTAACCCGATTAGATTTCTTAGAAAGAATAAACAATTTCAACCCTGATATTCAATTTGCGGCAATTCGTGTTCCCTGTAAACAAGGTGGACGACAGTGCAAAAGGTGTGTTAATTATATAGGCGTTCAGTCGTTTGCGCACTGGGGAAACACAGCTCCTTGTTATGCATTTTTCTCCCAAACAGAGTCAATATTTCTGTTTATGTCCCCCTCAGAAAATGATCAATGTGACTGTGGATGTTGGACCACAAGCACACTCACGTTAATGTCTCCGTAAGTTGTATAGTAGTGGCTTGTTTAAAACCGAAACCAATGGAGAACATGCGCAAAATTAAAATGTTAGCTCCGCGAGTGTAAACGATGCGGGTGTTGGAGGAGTTTGTAAATTGGAAGATTGCATGCCTAGCTGTCTGAATTAACGGGCGATAATGATGCAGGAACAGTAAGCAAAATTAACCACATAGGAGAAAAATTAAAAATTCTGGCCAAACATTATTGTCTCATGGCTTTGGAAAGTGAAAAGTGCCAGACTTGGCTATTTACTTTCCATAAACCGAGTTTTCGCTGGTAGGATAGTTCGACCGTCGATGCCGGCGATATCCGCCGTGCACCTCGCAGAAGAATGGGGGCAAGGATGGGTGACTTGCGCGCGAATTAGTTTATAGTGGTGGTAGACTTGTGCTGCATCTAACTCACTCCCTAATCCTCACAAACCTGAGCTTGGTTTCATGACAAAGTTAAGGAGACTGGAGGCGCGATCGGGCGCAGGTGACCGGCGCGGCATGGGCCGGCGCCTGGGTGTGCCACCATACCTCCACGCACGTATGCCCTTTGCTAAGGTTGCGCAGCCAGATCTTGATCTAGTCTCCGTGTTGGTCAAGTCCAACTACCGCGCGGCCCTTTTTAGAGACATTTTCGCTGGCGCAGTGA